CACCGTAAACGATTTTTTGGTTCGTTTTTCTATTCATAATAGTTCTTAAGAGATCGGCGAGGTCGTCAACAAGGGTTTCCATCCTGGTGCCACTCATTCTTTCGCACCCTGTCCCGGTTAAGGCTGGTGCAGGGTGACGGGGAGCCCCACAAGAAGGTGAGGTGAATGGTCTTGGCAGATACGGGCCCACCAACTTCTGCCAGGTTCTCCGCACAGGGTCGGAGAGCTGGCGGGGGCCAAAGGCGCCGACTAGTCACCATCCGGCTATAGGAGAATATCAGATTCATCGGGGTTTCCCAGGGCGTGGCCATACGCCCTGAGAACCCGTAGCCGCTTCGTGCTCCCCATAAAAAGAGAACCTAGCGTTAATTCTACGTGGAATAATCGTTAACGAAGATTCAGATTGGCACGTAGATTGTCAATTTGCAATCGTAAACGAGGGTGGATCCCTCTAGTCGTTGCACGAAACAACCCCTTTCGCTCTAACAATTTCACGAGAATCGTCCTCTGTACGTGTTTCTCATTCGAAAAATCCATTCTATATTTAATTTAATATTCCTAGTATCATTGTTCGTTCGAGATTTCCCGAACTCCTTTTAAGCGTAGAAGTTGATTAAATTCGGTTGAATAATTGAAAGGAAAAAAATGAAAAAGATGTAAAAAAAATACATAACGTATTTAAAATATTTTTCATAATAGAATAGACAATGGTAAAGTAACCGTTCCAGTTAAAAATTGATACGGTATCGATGGATTGGAGGTGGAAAGGAACCGCGTTGAAGAAATGGGTGCGAGCGATAAGAGTTAGCTCGATGATTGTATTTTAACAAGAAAATCCTCACGGCTGGTTGATCACTACCACCTGCTCCATGTGATAAGAAACCAGCGACACACATTTATGGCAGAGGGAGATCCGTTCATGCGTCACTTTTACATCGCTCACTTTTTTAATTTCAAACATATTCCCTTCTTGCAAAATCCTCATAAAATTGCGAAACGAATAATTTTCTTTATATAATCTTTTAATTTCTTATTTCAATTTAATGTTTATAGACTTGACAATTTTTCCCCTTTTTCGTCACCTTTCCTCGAATCGTTAGACATTAAAATAAAACCGTTGATCATTCTGGCTGTTTTTTTTTAAACTTTTTCTTGCGGAAATTCTTTTTTGCTGGTGTAGAAAATAGATGAGAAATTGTTTCGATGCCCCTCTCCACGAGTTCGGGTAGATCTCGTTTCAATCAATCGGTAGCCCAGATTCTTGTTCATTTCACACCCCCGTATCGCATCATTCCCGTGCGCAACCGTGTCCTTTGCCTCTGTGGAACCCCGTGAAAGGATCCTAGCACAGTTCCACGTCGACCATCAGGATCGTCAGAAGTCTTAGAGAACTTTTTCAAGATTTTCGATATCTAAAATAATAATAATAATAATAATAATAATAATAATAATAATAATAATAATAATAATAATAATAATAATAATAAAAGACGAGTTTTTTGTCGAGGATTAAACTTTAAACAGCATTAAGCTTAACTTATAGATTCCGCAGTTTAAACCGAAGAATTCCAGAATTTACAGGAAGTTCTTGGAAAAGGATCGGTAACATCTTAGTGATTATTTTACGAATATTGAAAGTTTCGAGACACAGCGACCGATTTATCGAATGTCATGACGGACGTGAATAGCAACAAAGTGTCCAACGAGTCTTCGAAAAAGTCGCTCGAACTGGCGAAGAAGGAGTTACGCGCGATAGTGACGAAGATTGAGGAAACAACACTTCCTAGCAGGTCTGTGAAATTGTTTCGCGCTCAATGTCTTCTTAGACCCGGAGGATCGAAGTTCCGCAGGAGACACCTGTGGATCTTGCTGATCCTCGCGTGGATTCTAGGTCAATTCCTCTGGAATTACGTGCACACCGTTCGTTACGACAAGGTGAGCCACGAAATCAATCCTTTTCGTTAAAAAGAAAGATAAGAAAGTCGACCGATCTGAGCTTTAAAACAGATCAATCCTTGGGGAAATCGTTTTTTCAGTAAAAGATTTGTTTTTATCTTTGCTTCTTTCTATACGTACTTCAATCATATCATTTTTGTCACGTGATTGTAAGAGAATTTTTAATTTTCTGTCTTTTTTCTTTTTAATAGAGTTAATCGTTGTTTGTGATATCTGACCTATTTTCGAAGAATTTTAATAAACATTTTGGCAAAATATCGGTCTTTATCCTTGCGTTTCTTCCTATTCTTAAATCGGTTTTTAGCGTTAGTAAATCGATTTTTGTTAAGGGTTGAATATTTTTCAAGTGCCTAGCGGAAGTACCTTCGTTCACGCAGAAAGTATTCCGGCCAGCCGAGGATTGTTCAATGTGTCGGGACGTTCAACAGGTTGACAGGATATCCAACGTGGATCCTGCCATTTTTGAGGAACGGTACTGGCTCGTCCAATTCCCCTAGTTCTTGCTCCACTTACGCTCTTGAATTAATTTTAATCCCCTCTCGTTCTGCTTTATTCGTCCGTTAATACAAAGAAGTATATGTGAAATTCAATTTTATTATTTTCTATGTTGGAATCTTTTTCATCCTTCTGTGCTCTCTTTCGAGGAATAGATATGCGTATTCAGGAAGACCGGTAGTGATTACGGATGCCATGACTAACTGGACAGCAACGGAAACATTCTCGTTTTCTTTCTTTAAATCGTTGTACGACGGAGAGGACGCGAATTGCCAGTTTTTTCCTTATAAAACCGAGTTTAAAAGTCTTCAGGACGTGTTCGATATGAGCGCTAGTCGATCATTGCTGGAGAAAGGAACGAAGCCATGGTACGTGGGCTGGTGAGTACAATTTCCATTGTAATTTTCATTTATTTCATTTTTCTATTTTATTTAATCGATTTTATATGTACATACATGATACATGTGACATAGATATAATATAATTCATTAGTAGCCGAGATAACGTATATCACGAGTAAGATTCTTATAACGCGAACGCATGTTTCGTCGAAATAGTTTCTGAAAACAATCAAAATAACTCCGTGTCTATTAACGAAGCAAGAAGTATCTCTATTAACGAGGTAATACTGTATTACGATATTGTGCTATATAACCTAATTATAAATAAACGCTGGATTAAAATAATCGTATTATTTTGTAGCATTTCTATAGATTATACATAAAGTAAAAGAAAAGATATAGATCTATTTTTTTTTATTTATTTAATTCTTTACATTCACAATTTGTCCAGTTTGGACATTTGGTAGAATTTTTTAGCTGTTTGATCATCATTTAGGTGGCAACCCCCAGTGGGATACCATCTTCGTGTTTGTTAGGTATAGATTTATTTGAAATTTATTTTAAAGAAAAAGGGTAGTTTGTTAGCGCTAGATTAGGAGAAAGGATATAGGGGATGGTATTAAATGTCACTGTCAGTTAAATCTGGTGATGTTTTTTTGGCCAAGGTTTTAGTAAGTGTCCCGAGAGTCTGGATGAACGGTGCCCGTGAAGAAGGCAGTTTTGGGGCTTCAATAACTGCCCTAAAGCTCGCCCGTATTCACACAATCCCCCTAACGAGCTTCCAAGCGAACTATGTAGTTTCCAGCGGCCCGTATTCATCGAAACGATTACCTAGAAACTCATATTCGTGTCGAGCGACGCGTTCTTCGTTACCTTTCCTGTCTGATAACTTCGCATTGTGAAGTGGACTTTGTATTGTTTTGCACAGGATGATATAAAAATATCGTCACATGTTAAACAAGGGAAGAGAATTAGAATCTATATCTTAAAACAAAGCGAGAAAAAAAATTTCCTACATTCGTTGCTAATAAACTTAGATTCATAAAAAATTCTGGTAATTTGGTTTGCAAATAGATGCAAATTATTAAACATGTATATATATAATAAACTAGCTGATAATAAATAAATATAGAGAAATACAATATAATTATAATTCTTGTTAAAGGAGTAACTGTGACGAAGAAATTGGCGGTGTGCTCAGGAAACACTATCAAAGGCCGTATTTTCTGCCTGTCACTGCAGAAACAGAGAAGACCGATTGGATTTTTATGGGTAGCCAAGGATATGGGGCCCCTATGCACGTGGGTACTCCTTCAATAAATATTTATTTTCATTCCCTACTTTTATCGATGAAATATTTCGACTTTTTCAGGTGGACGACGTGGAACACCCTTCGTGGCAAGCTCAGGTCAAGGGTGAGAAATTGTGGATGTTGGAACCACCCAGAGAGTGCCATTACGCTTGTTACAGGTTGAAAGTCGTAGTACATCCTGGCGAAATAAGTAAGTCTGGCTCGATTTCTTCACTGTGAAATTTCCTAATGATCGATTTGTCGCGCAGTTGTCCTGGATACCAATCGCTGGTACCATCAAACGGTAATCGTTTCCGAGGAGATGAGCATCACTATCGGAGCAGAATACGATTAGAGGAAGCTACAGGGACGTTCTAAGGGCATTTCGATCGCTACGACAGCCTTTAACGACGATACGTGTCACGAAGATCAATAAAGTTGTTTTGTCTTGATATTCACGGGTCTGTCAGCCTGCGAATAATTTCTAATAGAAATTTCACTTGAACCAAACATTACGAACAAAGTTCTCCAATAACAAATTGTCCTGATAACTCCTACTTTCGATTGACACTTTACAAAATGCCTTATATTTATCATGATTTAATTGCCAAGAATTTTCATCGACCGTTGAATAATTTCCACTTGCAAATGGAATTTTACAAATTTAATCTTTATCCATCGCAATTTGCAATATTGTTGCACGGCCCTTCAACTTTGAATTTACGACGCTGAACGAGCCGGAAGACGCGAATGGACTAAGCCAGGATGCTCGACGCGGATTCCACGATCCGTGGCGAGCAGTTGATCGGTTTCCTCGAGGAGGTCGGCTGAACACGCGCCAGGTAACGTATGATCACGGGCACACGCGTGAATCTATCGAGTGTGAGGGGACGTGAAGGGGCTGCAGGGAACCCCTGCCGTAGCCACCACCTGCCGCCAGGTGCGACTTCACGAGACATCTGTATGAGGGGCCCGTGCCGCGTTTCCTTTTCACCGTTGAGTTCTCCACAATTCACAAGCTCGTTGACCGGTGTAGGAACATTAGGTGTCTGTCTGGAGCCGAGGACCGGCTTATTACCGAAGTAATTGGTCGAAGCCGACGTTCGATGCACGTTACTGGCCCTTTGATAAATTTGACAACTAGTTTCGGTTATTGTCTTCGGAGGGGCAGATTATGCAAGCGTTGAATTGATTTTGGGAAATCTTTTTGCATCAAATATGGAAAAAAACTAAATAATAAAGGTGATATTAGAGTAATTGATTCGAATTAAAGAGTAATGACACGTTGCTATACCTTTGATAAATTTGAGAACGAAACGGTTACAGATCTATTGGCAGTGGTTGACGTTTTCTGCTAATACTCGACGAAGGGCGCTCTTCCTTCAAATCCCTTGAATCTCTGCTCGTAATAATTCTTTTAATATTTGGAATTTATTCCAATAACTTTTATTACCTTAAAAGATATTTTAAAATATCCTTCTCCAGAAAGAATAGGAAGAAACAAAATTAGAATAAATATTCTTTCGACTATCGTTAACTACAATTAATATGATTTACCAAAATTTTCAATCAAATCGTTTAATGGCTTGTTACGTGAAAACGATCGTAGATTCGTAGATGGCGACTGTGTGCAGCGAAGGCAGATGCAGCGGAGAATAAAAAATGGCCGGAAACGGGGGATGCATCGAAGGAGGCCCGAGGGCTTCCTGTTTCAACCTAATTACATTCCATTCGACGCGGGCTATGTAGAGGGTGGAGACTGGGTGGACGCGCAACAAAATCTCGTTAATTCATAAAAATTCTCCGTCCATTTCGCGGCAGTCTTTTTGCCCGCGCGAAATTAAAATCCTCCGCGCGGTCGAATAATCGATAGCGGAGGAACGCGCGGGATTCCGTCGATCGAACTTTCCTGCTTCTTTTTCTGGCGGATAAAAATGCGAATTTTTATCGAATGCGGCTAAGTGGAAAAACGCTTGTGCTGTTCCTAATTCTAAATCGATATTTGAATTTAAGGCAATCTTGGTCGATCCCTTCTTTCGGTCACAAATTCGAAAACATATCCACTGCAGTAAAATGATACACTACCGTTTACATATCCAGATACTTCGACCGATTTATATCAACGATATCTAAATTTTATGTTGCCAGATTATTAACTTATATTTATGAAAAAGACATAGATTAGACATAGAAAAGACATATAGCAATAGCGTATTCTTCTACGTACTATACATATATTCTTTAGTATACACTTGTACTATTTAAATGCCAATATCAGGATATTCAGCGTATTTTATCACGGTATTAGGTATACAAGTTCTATACAAACTTTACGAATTCTTATTGTAAACTACAGAACCGAGAACCAGGAAAGGTTGATTTCTATTTCAAATAAAATGTAGGTCGCTGTGGATTGAGTTTTCTAAATGGAAGATCTGTACAAATCGAACGAGATCATAACGCACGAAGCTATTTCGCACCGCGAGATGCGTCATTCAAGAAATGAAGTTTAAGGAGTGCGCGGAATGTTCTCGATATTCCATCAAAGGAAGCGAGGAATTTCAATAACAGCAAACAACTAAGCCGAAAAAGTATGTTAAAAATAACCACAACATTTTTTCCAACAACCGTGTTTTATTATTCTATCTCCTTTAAAAAACGAGGAAGAAACCGCTGTAAATTCGTAGAATACAGATCGAAAAGGCAACGCTAACGCGAGTTATTTATTTAAAAACCGACGCCAGCGAGACACGAAAACATCCCGTGGACAGTTCTAACAGGAAGATAAGTCGATAAACCGATCGAACTTTCGAGTTTTCGCGTGATAGCAGCACGAGCGATGTGATTCGCTGTTTGCGGCACAGTTTCAGAAAATTTCAATGGCCGTCGAGGGTGTAGGGTGCGCTCATGGTTCGCGATGACCACCGACCGACGGTTGCCTGTAATGGCCCGTATACGTGTGCCTAAGCGTACGTACGCGTTTCAATCCCCACCGTGCATCCCTCGCAGCGTTGCCGGCCTCTCGGTCTCACCCGTTTGCGGCTATGTACAAATTTCACGTTAGGTACATATGGTTTCCCTGTTTGCATCTTGCTTTCTCTCAATCAGCAACACCTACAAACGTGTTCTTCGGAGGTTCTCCCTTGTCCCTCGGCCCCTGTTGCCCTCTTCGTCGTTTCAGCCCCCCTCGCGTCCTTTCCGTCTCTCTGTCGTTCCATATACTTGTGGTCGCACATACTTGGCACGTATGTGTTAGCAACTATCTGCCTCCCTTTCCCTTCGTCGCTCTGCGATTCTCTTTCGAGGGACACGTACGGTTTCACAAGCGCGTCGGCGTTGCGCTCAACCCTCCTGCCAACCGTACACGAATTTCTGCCTTTCTTCTTCTGTATCCCATCTTTGCATCTTTCTCACGTGTTTTCACGTTCGTACATGAAATTCTTCTTCCATTTTAGCTTTTTTACGCGCTTATACCTTGTTGAATTTACGGGGTGTATTTTTGTATAGTGTAGGGTGTCCACGGGGATATCCATTTTATTTCGTTTATTCTGTTCTTTTCTTTGTTTATCGCTCTTTTAAATGGGTAAGTGTAAATGTTATTTGAAAATGTTTCAGATTATTTCTATCTTCCTCGCCCCTATAAAGTTAACTTTACACGAGTATCTATCGTGCAACGGACAAGCTTTTATTTTCTTCTCTCTCTCTCTCTCTCTCTCTCTCTCTCCCTCCCTCCCTTTCGCTTTAGAGACCTGTGCGCGTGCATTTTACTTTCACCTTTTGCCTGTTCGTTCGCACCACGGCGATACCCAACGCTCTCTCTTCGCACCCCCGCCGTTTTCACACATCGCCATGTTTATATGGAAAATCTGCACAGAGTTATTATTAGCCGGCCCTCGTTTCGCCGTTTGTATACTGATCTTACGCCCACGCTCGTCCCTTTTTCCCTCGACCGTTCTACTGTTTCGTCATTAGAGACAAGGTAACTCTAAACTATCATTATTTGCCCACCATATTAACACCCTTATCTCTCTTTTAAGCCGGTATGCAAATTTTATGCTCGTGTGCTGCCTCTTTGTATATTTATCTTGGATATACCGACCATTTCTTCTTCTATCTTTATACTATGTATAATAGTCTGTGGTGGTGAAATAGCGAGGTCGTACATTATTGCATTAAGCGTTGGTATGGATCGATGTCGCAACAACATCGATTAATTCTGTTTTATCTGGTCAACATTTCTTAAGGCGCTATTTAAACAATTTGTAGAAAGATTTGTAGTTTCGTGCTTGATTAACTTTACGACCTTGCTATTGCTCTGTTAAAGAACATACGTAACGTATATACAAATTCGCGTGACTTCGTGGAAACGATAAATTTGTAATTGTATGACTCTTTAACCTTCTTTACTCTGTTCTGTTCGTATTCCAAGATTCACGAGTCGAAATCTACAAATCTGAATTTTATCACCTTACTTCGCCTGCTCAGTTCCAAATTACGTTCTATCAATCTCGAATCTACCACTGGGCTAAATCTAACCAGTTTCAGCCATTTCCGCGCGAATTATCCGCTTTCGTTTGCTGTCTATACGTAAAACTTCTCGCTGTTTCTATCTTTCTTTTATCTTATGTTCCTTTAATTCTCTATTTTCAAGGTCCGTTAATCGAAATCTACAAATTTACCGATGCTTGATATTCGATTTCAAACTACGTTCTATCAATCTCAAATCTACACTCTGACCAGACTTGTTCTATGATTTCCAAAAGGAATTATCTATTCTCGTCTGTTATCCGTATGAAAAACTCTTTCTCGCTCTTTTTCATTTTATCGTCAATTCCTTGTTTCCGAGATGAATCAATCGAAATCAATGAATTTACCACTCGATATTTCCCATCCAATTCAAAACTACGTTCCATTAATTTCGAATCTGCCTACCTACCTACTACGATCAGTGATTGTACTTTACGATTTCCACGCGAATTATTCGTCCTTGTTCGTAAAAGTGTTCTTACACCCTCGCCACCCTTTTTCATTCTATTTTAATATTCTATTTTTCGTTTCCAAGATCCACCAGTCGAAATATGTGAATTGTCACGAATTAATTCATCGATCCCTCACTCTTCTCACCCAATTCCAAACTACGTTCTATTAATTCCGAATCTGCCCCTTACTAACCCGTTTCTACGACTTCCGCGCGAATTATCCATTCTCGTTAGCCACGCATACGTACGCAAAACTCCTTGTCCACGTTCTCACCCTCGATCCACTACCCTCTGCCTCGTTTCCGTGTTTATGGCAGCATGCGTTTACGTGCATAGGCCGGCCGTTCTTCCTCTTTCGCCCTCGCCACCTCACGTTCCTCTTCTCTGTCTCTCTACCACGGTTCGCGTGTAACCACACACATAGTGCTTGGTACATAGGAGTCAGCCTGCGCTCGTGTACCTCCTCTATGTACGTACGTATATAGTACGTAGGCGCTTGGTA